AAGATTGCTCTCTGTTGGGTTATAGCTATTTATGTTGCTCTTGTTGCATAAACAAATTAAACACTCATCCAATCAAATGCAAAGATGAAGAAAGAAAGTCAATCATTGTCTCAGTGAAGAGGAGTTCGTTCGCCGTGATCGCATTATCGAACTGTAAAGCCGTGTTCATATTTTCCTAAAACAAATCGTTCTATGGCACAAAATCTTTGCCCGCCAGTACTTTTATGGCAAACACTAACTCACACGACTATTAGGAGAACAGAGGAATCACATTTCTATTCTTGTTGTAATTATGTTAATATTATTCAATTTGTCGATATCATGTAGCCTATTTTGAACATTTTATCGGAAGTTCCTTTCCCTAGTAACATTCCCTCTTCACTTCCTTAACAATCAAATCATATTTCAACTCACTAAATTACACCTCTCCCAGGTGACGTATATGCTGACATATAAAAATTACAGTATTCATTACTCCATCTAATAACGTCTTCTCTAAAACAAGTCTGCATCAAATTCACTTCCTTAACAATCACCTTAATTTATTACCTTTGTACAAGATTCAACGCTCCACATTTCAGGGAGAATTTTTTCTATTCCACGTAACTTGCATGGCACAGTACATCTTGGTAATGAAGCGATTTGTTTGAAGCTGGTCACCAGTGGGATTTACGTCATGCGTCTCCTCCTATTCGAGACTAGTCGTTGTAATATTGATGAATCACAATATATCAGTATTGGTTTACATATTAAGACTAATACACAAAGGTGTTATCTCCCTATATGGCTTGACCACATGATTTGTCGCTTTGACACGTTCTAAATAGGATCAGCAGTGCATTCTAGGATCCATTTCTATGGACAATTAGAAATATAACACCCCTTAATCTAAAGCGAAGATAGATGGGTCCATTCTTCTAACCAACATGTCGAAGGAGATGGAGGATTTCACTAAAATAAAATAATTTCTAGACTCGATGACATATGCATACACATACTGTTTCTTTGCTCAAGAAATCTACTTTATTCTTTATTCATGAACGGTCTGAATGAATTAATGAATGAGATATTACCGACCTATGCTTCAATTTGTAGAAATAAATAGGTTAACCAGTGTAACGGTACAGAATAATCATATAATGATTAGAAATATGTGTCTCTCAAAAAAATTATAATTATATTTTAAAACTTTACAAAGAATGACAAGTTTTTCTTTCTGGTAATATTTCGAGCAAAATTACTAACCGTGATTACAGCAACAGTTCAAATTTATTTTTCTTAAAATTCACACTTTTATGATTTGTACTCATATAAATTGAACAAAATATTCAGTGAAGAGACTCCTCTTTTCAACAAATTTATTGTCAGACTGTACAATCGTATACACACATATGGTTTTTTTTTAAGAAATTATATCCGGTGAGGAAATTATATCAAAGCTGTGAATGCATGAAATAATAATAGTAGTAGTATGAAATTCAATTAAAATTAAAATGTTTGTTCATACTGATGAAGAGTCTTAATCGAGGACGAAACAGCTTTCCAGTACTCCCTGAAGGTTTTCCAGTGGTTCTCTAACTGATGTCAGCTGATAATGAAATCCTCCATCCAATTAAAATTACAGTTAAATGTCAAGTAGCAAAACCACTGATGTCAAATATAGAATAATTCATAAGGGTTATAGATGTTCGGAAGGGGTACATAATTATACGATGAGTAGGCGAATATAAAATATTATATAACATGGTGTGAAATTTGATAAGGTAGAATTTGATATTGTAAAAATTAATAATTTTTGATTTAGAATGACAGGTGGGACAAGTGGAGACAATTCAGAGTGACAATAATAATAATAATAATAATCGTTGCAATAATAGTACATAGGATAACTAAATAAACAAATAATAAAAGAAAACATTAATTTGCTCTGCCGCTTGACATTTAACTATGATAATAATCACAAACATTTTAGTTTTTTCATTGCATTTCATATTATTAATATTATTATTTTATGCATTCACAGCTACGATTCAATTTAGAACAACACATTTAAGCGAAGAATATTGTTTTCAATTAGATCTCATCAGGCTTATATATAAGTTTACAAATAAAAATTCAAATATAAACCAATCATGGTGTTTTGTCTATAGTTACGTTCCCATTAAATATAAAAAAAATCTTGTAAAATGTCTCACGAGTAGAGCAAGGAAGATATGTACGGATGACCTCTTACAAAAGGAATTTCAATATATTCACGATTCCTTGATGGAGATGGGTTATCCGAGTAGTTTCATAAAGAAACATATGAAACTATCAGAGAAAAAACCTGTGACTCTGACTGCACATAAGATACCTCTGTTTATTAAGTTAAAATTTAATGGGGACTTATCTAGTGAGATTCTATTCCAAAGACTTTCAAGGAGTATACGTAGAACATTTTACTCAGCACACCTATGTTTGTCATTCTCTAGCCGACGAATGATTGTGACGCAAACGAAGGATAAGCTTAATAGTTTTGCCACATCCATGTGTATTTATCAATTCAACTGCACCTGCGGTGACAGTTATATTGGGCGTACTACTATACAGCTTAGCCAACGTGTTAGTGAACATCTCCCATCGTGGCGATTTGGGAAAGGACAGACTAAAACAATCCGTAGCTCAATTCTGTCACATCTAATTGATAGTGGTCATGTAGTCGATAAAACGGAAGCCTTCAAAGTAATTCATCGTATCCCACCGAATCTTTCTAATAGACTTCGTATTCGTCTACTGCACACAGCTGAGGCGATAGGCATTCGAACAACTATTAAACCTAAACTATGCATTCAAAAGAAGTTCGTACAGCCATTATCCCTCCCGTGGCCTAATAAGACATAACCAACCAAAGACTTCTACACCACCCCTTATTTATATTTCCAACCCCTTTCTTATCATCCCTTAATCTTATCTTCATTATAAACGTGTTTTATTTCCTTCTCTTACAATCTAACATTACGTAATCGGTTCATTTGTTTTTACTAGCCTTTATCGACTACTTCCACCTGAACAATTGTTTGTTTAATCATACTGTTTTTCATTATTCGTGTTATCACAGATTGCCTCATTTTTTCATCCTTATTATTGATAAGACCATTATCATTATTATTACTATTATTAATATTATCATTACCACTATTATGACTAACTGCACAATTTATATTCACCATCGTATTATCCTATAGACAAAACACCATGATTGGTTTATATTTGAATTTTTACTTGTAAACTTATATATATTAGAGTTAAGCCTGTTGAGATCTAATTGAAAACAATGTTGTTCGCTTAAATGTATTGTTCTAAATTTTACGATTCAATTCCCTAACCGCATAGAACTTCTTAAAAACCATATACATACCATTGAACAGCTTGATGATAAATTCGTTGAAAAGAGTCTCTTCGCTGAATCACTTGCTTTGATTTTCTATAGGAATTAAAATATCATAATAAACAGTGGGATGAATAATGTTCGGACAACGTAGCATCATAATTACTGAGAACATTGACATATTGTGGAATTAGAGGTTAGAAATGTAGAAATAACAACAACATTCAGTGAAGAGACTTTTTTCAGTGAATTTATTATCAAGCTGTACAATCGTATATATATGGTTTTATGAAGAAATTATATCGGTGAGGGAATTAATGTCAAAGGTGTGAATACATGAAATAATAATAGCGGTATGAAATGCAATTAAAATATTTGTGATTATAATCATAGTTTAATGTCAAGTTGGAAAATAATTAATGTCATATTTAGAATAATACATAAGGTGTATAGATTTTGGAGAGAGGTATATAATTATAAGATTAGTAGACGAACATAAAATGTTACATAACATGGTGTGAAATCCTCTAAGATAGAATTCAATATTGTAAAAATAAAAATAAAAAGTATACAAATGAATAATTTTTGGTTTAAAATGTTTGTATGGACTACCGAAAATACTTAATATCAGTAAAAAGTTTGAGCATTGTGGATTAGATCAAATAAAGTATAATTATATTTTAATAGTTTACACACAATGATAAGTTTTATTATTGGTAATATTTCGCGCAATAACAAAACTTATCATTGTGTAAACTATTAAAATATAATTATACTTTACCGAAAATACACAAGACAGGATTACCCTCCGCCCAATCCTCGATATGGCGGGCTCTCCTTATCACGGAATCGCTCAAGGGCTAGCCGAAATACTGGAACCAGTCAGAAGGCAAGTATCTAAGTATTCCATTGATGATACGTTTAAATTTATTGACAGCTTTTAAAGATTTTAATGTCTCAGACAAAGTCCTTTTCTCTTTAGATGTGACATCGCTATTTACCAATGTTCCGTTCATGGAAACTGTTAGCTATTTATGTGATTATATTGATACACATAGTTTGGAAATAGTTTTGCCGACAATCCACCTCAAAGAGCTTTTATTGAGATGTAGGTTGAATGTTCAGTTCACCTTCAACAATGAGATCTATAGACAGAGAGATGGCATTGCCATGGGATCACCACTGGGTTCCTTATTTCTTGTGTTTTTTTGGCAAAGCTGGAAAATTCTCAACTTAGTCAAACCATCGGTCATTTTGACATTTATAAAAGATACGTAGACGACACTTTCGTCATCTGCGATAATAACGTAGTTCTTGACGATGTCTTGTTTGCTTTCAACAACTGCCATCCTTCTTTACAATTCACCATAGAAAAGGAATCCGAACTAAGTATCCCGTTTCTTGATATGTGCCTCAGCAGACGTAATGACGGATCTCTCAAAAGATCTATCCACCGGAAACGTACATGAAACGGACAACTAACTAATTTTTACAGTTGGGTGCCTATTTCCAGGAGAAGGAACCTTATTCATTCGCTCCTCTCTAGGATGAGGAAAATTTGTAGTTCTGGTTGCGTTGACTCAGAACTTGACTTCCTAAAAGCCACACTCTTAGAAAACGGTTACCCTAACTGATTTATTGACAGAAGTTTGAAAGATAAGCAGTGTAAACTGGTCAACGACTCAGTTCCAAAGAAAACGTTATTCATGAACTTGGAATTCGAAGATGAACAAGCTTCAGATAAGCTCAAAAATCGTCTTTCTAAATCAGTGAGTAAGATGTTCTTGGCAGCGACGTTCACTAGATGCAAGTTGTTCTCTACTTCTGTAAAAGATAAGCTCCGCCGTCTGGCCACCTACATACGCATTTACCAGTTCACCTGCTCTTTTGGAGAAAGGTACATTGGCCACGTAGTCAGAGGACGCCGCTTTCCACATGGATACGGAACATATTCCAGCTGCATGGTTTTACAAGGGAGAAAGTAAGTGGGTGCGAAGCTCTATTCTGGAAAACCTGATCGACTTCTGTCACTCTGTCAACCCTGACCAAGATTTCAAGATCATATATAGAATTTATGCTAACCTTCCGCGTTTTTTTCGTTACAGACTTCTAAAGACAGTTGAGGCCTTGTCAATTCATGACTATGGGCCATACCTTTGTAGTATGTACAATCCATACTTCTGCCTTGGCCGTAGAGGGATAAACATTTCTTTATTTTGTTTATTTAGTTATTATATTTAAATTTCCCTTAAAACTTCAATTATTTTTATTGTTATTATTATTATCATTATTATTACTATTACGACTCTCACTCTGAATCTTTTCCACTTGACCCACTTGACATTTTAAACCAAAAATTATTCATTTGTATACTTTTTATTTTTATTTTTACAATATTGAATTCTATCTTAGAGGATTTCACACCATGTTATGTAACATTTTATATTCGTCTACTAATCTTATAATTATATACCTCTCTCCAAAATCTATACACCTTATGTATTATAACATTAATTATTTTGCGACTTGACATTAAACTATGATCATGAAGAAAGAAAAATAAATGAAAACTACATATATGAGTAGAAATCATAAAAATAAGAATTGAGAACAAACAACCAACAATTCGAACAGTTGATCTGATCACCGGTTGTAATCTTCCTTTTGAAATATTACCGAAAACAATATCTCATCGTTGTGTGTAAACTATTGAAATATAATTATGATTTATTTGATGTATTCCTCAGTGTTCCTGGTCTATTTATCACAAATGAATAACACTCTTATTTGAAAATTACTACAAATAAAAGAATGAATAAAGCAAATACATACTTAGAGGAAAATATGTTGATGTCACTGAAAAGGGAGTTAACATCATGTAATATGAAGACTATAGAAGTGAATGCTTCTCATGGGTATATCAATAATAAATGTGAGTAGTCACACAATACATTGTTCAAACATACATGTCATAGAATGTAGGTGAAAGAATGCCTGAATACTCTGGGAATGATATGATGAATAGAGATAGATTAATTTCATTGTATCCATCGCGTACACTTTAACGATAAGTCCAAAATGAATGGGGATGAGTGTAGTGTAGAAAATGATCCACGTGAACAACTCCTATTTCATATGCAGTTTACAACAGCCGTCAATAAGCAAGGAATCAGGTAGTTTATTTGATGTTTAATCAGGTAATTACTTGAGTAAATATTCAAGTTGGTAATAAGTGGGCAAGTCAATAGTTAACTGAGTCAATAATCAAACTGCAAAATCACTCACATTATAAAATAGCATAAGATACTTCGGAGTAAAATCTGATCTGTGTGAGTTAGGATAAATTTTCACTTGACATTCTATATTTATAGCACAGTCAGAAATATGATTCATAGGCAGGCACATAAAACAATGGTGATTATTGTAGAGTTAACCTGTTAGCTGGTATATACCATTTGGCGTTGATTTGTATAATCGTTTAACTGTATGAAATGCCTTACACTGAAGAATGCACAAAAATAATAGACGAAAGTGTTCCATTCGCCAGATATAAATCACTGTATTAAATATTGACTGCATATAGGTGAGAATCAAAAATACATCTCTTAAATCCAGCATGACACGTAGCTTGATAAATGCATTATTCGGATCTTTTGAGAATGGATTCGATATTGCAAAATACGCGATCGAAACAGCTGGGATAGACAGCAGAAATGTTGTTCCTGAAATAATCAGCAGTAGAATACATGCTGAAAGTTCGCTGGATTTAGTTGAATGTGTTGATGTGGCTATTTGACGTCTGTGTTGCAACCAGAAGTATATTTTAAGTAATAGTACTCCATTCAGTAATCCGTTGATTGCAGTTTGAGCAAAACATGCTCCTGAGAATAGACCATAATAAAGGTAGAGAAATCGATTAGATGGTACCTTATAACATGAAGTTTTATTGGAAGATACAGTCCAATCGGACTGCACAATGATAGGTATCATTAAGAGAACAGCTGTTATGAAGGTACTCAACACAAAATACCAAGCATTTCGTGAATTGAATTGGCTAAATTGTAGAGGGAACTGAACAGCTAACAATCTATCAAGCATTGTGGTGATTAACATATTCCCTCTGAATGTATTCAAAAGTCCTAATGTACCGCGATATAACTTACATCCGATACCAGAAATATTGTTTATGGAGAAGAATATAGTTCCATTAGACGCATACGGAATACCCTTGGTAGGGATTAGCCTCAATGTAGCCTCTAGGAGGCAAGTGCATAGGTCTACTAACGAAAGAACCGCGAGATAGATAATTTGTCTTGTTTTGCGTCGATAACCATGAAGGAATATGACAGCGTTGATCACATTACAGATGACATTGAATAGAACTATGAAAGGCAGGATGTAGGCGCATAGAATACCACTGAGTGTTGCAATGTTGCACAACGCTGGAGTTGATTTTGGACTTCCGCGTCTTACATTATAGCAGTTGATTAGCATATCCCACAGATTATCAGAAAATGGATATTTAGAAACATTGTGCCTCATCATTACTATTCTGAGGGTATGAAAATTCCCAGATTCTGATAAAACGGTATATGTATAAATATGCATATATATATATATATATATATATATATATATATATATATATATATATATATATATATATATATATATACGTATATGTTTGTCATCTGAATTGTATTCAAGGTAATTGATATGTGACAGACATGGGAAACGCCCTCACTTATTGTTGTTGTTGTTATTTCCCCATATCTGAATGAATATTTCATGTAAATACCTTATTAAGCTATCCAGATGACTACAGATAAAATGTAGGATAGCAATTAGTAGCCTATTTGGAGTCTGATGCGTTTTTTTTGTTTTTGACATGTTGTCGTGGACCTAAAATCTGATTCGTCTAAATTTCGATGTTGTTTTTTCATCATTTATTCACAGGAAACACGTAATCTACTTACAGAATATTTTGGTTAATAAATTTTGGGAATTTTCGTTGTTAAATTTACACTTTGGTTGTATAGGTATGTATTTTACATCTGATGAGAGATTTTTGAGATGATTAGCTGCCCGATTGGGCAATGTTCAACTGTTCTATCAATCTAAACCCCTGTTTTCATTATTTAAGCTGCAGGAGATAAAAAACCTCAGTACGGTTTTGGTGAATGAATGCTACTGCATATCAATCTGGTTTGTTTCTCAACCTTTGATTACCTTCTTATATGAGAAACAAGGTTTTGAATCAATCACTAGTGGTTTTAAAATTGAACACATATTCTTGTGGGAAAGGAGGATAGTCTTATGGAAAATACAAAAATATTTTCACTAGAAATTGTATGTTAGTATAAAGGCCAGAAGGTAATGTGACAATGGTGAGAACAGTAAAATGAGCCACGTTCAGATAGAAAATTGAATTCTGAAACAGAATAGAAGACATGGAAAAATAAATGAGGTTGTACGTCTCCATAACTCGGTGTCGTAAACATTATTATCTAAAAGGAGTGAGCGAAGAAATACTTTTCAGTTATATGTATATATGGAGGATTTCATTTCAGCTGTTTCGTCCTAGTTAAGAACTCCTCAACAGTACGTACTCACCGTGGTTCGAACCCAGGACCTTCTGATCACATGGCGAGATCGTGTATCATTAAGCCACTGCAACCCGATCCAATGGCTCTTGAATTCTAACTTCTGCCAGTTCACGACATAGCTTGACCATTCCGCAATGTCTTCTTCGATGAGTTACTGCCTCATCTCCGGCCTGCTGTACCTTACTGGTCACGACTTTCCATTGGTTTCGAACGCTGGTGGGTGCGTATTGCTGAGGAGTCCCAAACTAGGACGAAAAAGCTGTCCAGTACTCCCAAGGTTTCCAGTGGTTCTCTAACTGATGTCAGCTCATGGTGAAATCCTCCATAGAATCAAACAGAATCCCTACAAAACCAATTTTGAAAAAATAAATAAGCATATAACATTTTTATTATAATACACAACAACTTACCATTCAAGTGACACTGAAATGCTTGTTAACAACAATTAGTCAGTATCAACATTTCAGTGGAGTAGGGCGATAATCAACGAAAAAAATATTACACACAATTAAACGGTAGGAATGGTTGAAACATATGGATTGCGTGAAGCATAATTTTGGAAAAATGAAGACTAATTAAGGAATGAGCGTGCACACGGGTTCATTGCGTAACAGACTGTTTAAGCATGGTATTTTTGCCCCTTCTGTTGATGTAAATACTTTAAATAGATCTTTTATCCGCCCTCCAAATGTCCCTTTTATCTTCAATGTAACAAATAACATGACCAGTAACTGTCATAGTTTCAATACTTCTGATGTTCTTAAACGTTTAAAATCTCTTAAACCTACGCAGAGGCTAGGCTCTGATGGTATACCTGCCACTGTCCTGAGGAAGTGTGCTGATATTTTAAGTGACCCACTTAAACTGTGGAACATCAAATGGCCTTGGCGGCCTGTTTGAACATTTTTGGGCTACCACATTCCATGTACATTTTGCATCTATTTTATTGGTATTTACATTTCACATTATGCATTCTAATCGTATTATCCACTCCCGGGATTTTATAAAACGTTTTAAACCCAAAAACTTTCATATTTGCAATAAACTCAAGAAAAAGCACCATGGAGGTTGGCAGCGTGCCTTAAAATCTACACCCATACATCACACCACTGTTCCAGTTATCATTAGTACCAACTGCCGGTCCCTGCCTAATAAAATTCTGGATTTTCAGTCCCTGTTGTCTTCAGAAATCTACCACAATACTGGTATTGTCACTCTACAAGAAACCTGGCTCCATGACTCATACGATGACAATATTGTGTCTCTAAACAATTTCAATGTTTTCCGACAAGACCGTGTTTGTTCCAAGAAAAAATGTGGTGGAGGTGTTGCAACTTTTATTCACTCAAAATGGTCCATTTCTAACAAAGTTTGTTTCAAATTCTCGAATGACTTCATTGATTGCATCACTGTGAGATGTCGCCCGAAACACCTGTCAAAATACAAATTCATTTATATTTCTAATGTTTATGTCTCTCCTGGCTGTACCATATTGGATTTATCTATGTTCGCTGATGAATTCACCGCTTTTGCTGCAGCTTGCTTCGAGAACTCTTTATCAATAGTAACTGGTGTCTTTAATGCATGCGATCACTCCTTCCTTATATCACTTGGTCATGACAATATTGTTAACTTTGCCACCCGTCTTGGTAAAAACTGGATCTGGTATTTATCAATGATGTTGGTATATATGAAGCTCGCAAACGTGCTCCTCTACTTAATTCTGACCACTGCATCATACGTGTACTGCCTAAAATATATTCCAAATCACACAAAGGTGTCCTCTCTCACCTCTACAGTAAAGTTCAACGGAGATGCTACTCAAAAGACAACCTAGACAAGCTCAGATGCATGTTGAAAGACACTAACTGGGACTTATTTACAGAACAAACATTAGATGAAACAATCACAAACACTACCGATTATCTTAAATTCTGTTTCGAAATATGTTGTCCTAAAGAAACATTATTCATTCGATTTGATCGCTTATCTTCGCCATATCTCAAAAAGCTACGTAGAATAAAGAACTGTTGTTCAAAACAAATGATAAGCCTGGTGTAAAAAAGTTAAACATTCTGATAAAACTGGAAATGAAAAGACTAAATGTTTTATATAATCAAAGATTTTTGTCATGTAAAACCCCTTCTAATTTATGGAAACTTTTCAAAGAAATTACTAACGGTAAGCGATGTATTTCTGTTCCATCTCTTAATGTTGACACTCTTAATAAATCTTTCATACGCTCTTCTGTTGATACCCTTCCAAATGATACAAATCATATTGACAATAACTTTAGTGGTTTTAATACCCTTGATGTGCTTAAATGTCTCCGGTCTCTTAAGCCTTCTCAAAGCCTTGGTCCTGACGGCATACCTGCCATTGTCCTCAGGAATTGTGCTGATATTTTGTGTTATCCTCTTACTAACATTTTTAATGCTTCTTTTTCCGGTAACGTTCTACCTTTTGCATGGAAAAACATTAAAATTATCCCTATACCAAAACCATCTTCTGGTTCTGATATTAAATTTCGGCCTATTGCAATTACTTCCCCCTTTTTAAAATTGATGGAAAAATTACTTTTACTTCGTCTTGAACCCGCTTTGAAACCTTTTAATGATCCTAAACAATTTGCATACAAACATGGTAGAAGTACCTTGGATGCTGCGGTTGTCTTATATCACAATGTTGTCTCTTGTTTAGACAAAGGTGCTAAATATGTTCGTAGTGCTTTCTTAGACTACACATCTGCTTTTGACTCTGTACCTAGGGGCCTTTTATTAAATAAGCTATCGTTGACACAAACAGGATCCTGGGCTAAGAGTTGGTTGCATTCCTATTTTTCTGATAGAATGCAGTATACTGTATATAACGGCAAATCTTCTTCTACCTCGCTTACAAAATCCGGTGTTCCACAAGGTGCTGTCCTCTCTCCTTTTCTTTTTTCTTTCTTCCTACATGACCTGCCTCATTCAAACGAAACTAACTTTGTCAAATATGCAGATGATCTGACTGTATCACTGCCTATCACTTCCGAGTCTGACAGCTCCAAACTTAATAGCTTTCTGTTGGACATCAACAACTGGTCCAAGTCAAATGGTCTTATATTAAATCCTTCCAAATGTCAGACAGTTGACTTTACTTTCAAGCATCGACGTGACTTACTTGAACTAGTTAACTCGCATGATCCCTGTAGCATAGATGGCACGGAAATTGAAACCAAATCAAGCATTAAATACCTTGGATTAGTTCTTTCCTCTGACCTTTCATGGTCATCCCACATCTTATCTATCTCTAAGAAAATGTTTCGTCTTACCTTCTACATTAAAAAGTTAAGACAATCAGGTATCAACCAACCTTTAGTTTTGCAATTTTTAAACTCCTGTATTTTACCTATTGTACTCTATTGCTCTCCATTAATCTTTCCTGGGCTTCTCAAAAAAGATTATATCATATTACGAAGAGTATTAAATGCTGTAAGTATGCCACTGCATGAGCTCGCTAATACTATAGTCGAGAGACATATAAATTCCTGTACAAAATGGGCAAAGGCTATACTGTCAGACCCTCTGCACCCCGTTTATTCACACCTATCCCCTTGTATCTCATCAGGTAGGACGAGAAGTCAATATAAGAAGTTATATGCTCGTACCACTAAGTACAGAAATTCTACAATACCCTATTTAGCCTGTATTTTATGTGATGAAGACTCTGTTAGACATGGAACATATTAGTTACTATGTAACTAGCAAAGTGAATCGACCACGTCATTGTTCATCTTTCTGTAGTTTTATGGTGTCACCCTTTCTGTCGTTTATATTATAACTTAGCAATTTTATTTTAGTTGTTATTACTATTATTACTACAATTTTATACTTTATGCATATTTTTCACTGTATTGCATACAGTAATTTGCTATGTAACTGTTATAACAACGTTTTATTATTATTATGCAATATTTACTTTTATTA